TAGCAGCAGTAGTACTAGCAGCAGCAGCAGCAGCAGCAGCAGCCGTAGCAGTAGCTGCAGCTGTATTTGTAGCTGCAGCAGTAGCAGTAGCAGTAGCAGCAGAAGCAGCAGCAGCCAGCAGTAGTAGTTGCTCTTGTTGATGGCATCGTGACAGGTCTCCAAACTTCGATGCTGTACAGTCTGGACATGTTGTTGCACTAGTAGCAGGAGTACTTCTTGCATTAGTGCTACCAGTACCAGTACTCGTACTCGTTTTCGTACTAGTACTAATCAGTACTAGTACGAGGAGCAGGAGCAGGAGGAGGAGGAGGGTAGATGCGGTCTTGGTCGAGCTTGCCAGTATTTGTGTTGTTGCGCTGGAGACTCCTGATTGTCCCAACTCAAGATCTGCAGCCCAATACAAGACGCCTTAGGGCTTGCAAATGAGTCCCCATGCCAGTTTGGGATTTAGGAAGTACGATTCAGGGTTAAACGGTTAGGATTTAGGATTTTGTGGTTGAGGCCCCGAACATGTGCTTCTGCTTCTGTTTGTGGAAGTTACTCCAACCATGGAGAGACCCTGACCCACAGACTGTGAGGAGAACACCTTAAAGCGGTGTGCGCTGATTCTGGTCTTTATGATGTAACACCATGCAACATGATACAGCGGAATTTGGCACAGAAGCAAGACAAGCGCATTCGCTTGAGAACGCCAAACCCCAAACCCCTGAGATCGGATTTGCAGTGACCCCACGTCTTCACCCTGAACCCTACAGCCCAATTGATTTAAACCCTTAACCACCAAAAGCTGAACCCAAGAGTCCTAGAAACAAGTATATGATGCACTCCCTAAGCCTGAATTCAAGCCCCCCTGCCAGAAGCTGAAACTCAGCCTACAGGCATTGAGATCGATGCCTCAAACCCTACACCGCTACGCCAGGCTCGAGGGCGGCCTCTAGGATTTAGATAGGCCTTCAGGCTTTAAGGGCTCAGATAGGGCGTGGGGGCTTAGAATTTGGGGCTCCGGGGCCTGGAGCGTCGTCGCTGGAACTTCGAGCCCGGCCTCCAGAGAAGGAAGCTCCGACGGAGGGCTCTGGAGCTTGGCTCTGGCGGGGTTTAGAGTTCAGGATCGGGTTCTCAGACTCAGATATATTTAGCACCTGAACACTCTCATGCGAGCCGTCTGCGACCTGAGCGCTTCGTCGCCAAGGGTTCCAAGAAAAGAAGACGATGTTCGGATGCTCATTGTAAGGACGCTTACAAGAGCAAAAACCTCCTTCGGTAAGGATTCAGTCTCGCGACTGACTCTAACAGTTTTGTGGCATGCTGAACCTCTGAGAGTCTGAAACCCTCTCGCCTGAAGGCCTCAAAGCCCCGAGCGAAGACCCAAAGTCCGGAGCATTGAAATCGAAACGCGTTCCAGGCCCCAAGTCATCCAACCACCCTGAATGAAGTATCCCAAAATATGTCCTCACATGCTCTGAAGCGCAGTAGCAGGAAACTCTCATGTCCGAAGCCTCTGATAGCACTTGCTCTCTTGACCCCGCCCCGCTTTCATGCTATCTCAGCTAACACAGGCACGTGGCTCGCTTGTAGCCCTCCACTCACTTTACCGAGGCTAATTTGTGATTGATTGTCCTTTGTGCCCTACCAGGGTTTGTCACAATCCCGTATGAGTGAGGAACACTGTCCAGGACTTACAGGCGGTCCCTACACGATCTGATCGCAAGCTCTGTAACCACCACTCCCGCCTGTCTCGGCATGCTCAGATTCTCCGTGCAGCTGGCATTTCTTCCACTCTGTCATGAAGCTGATGACCTTGGCTTTATGCCGGGGCCTGGCTCGTTGCCAAGATGAATCAGGCGGATAAGAATTCCGACGGGTCGAATTTAGGGTTTCGGATTGAGGGTTTAGGTGTCCCTCTTAATTCTGAGGTATGCATGGGGTCTGCAGGTACCAGTAGCAGCTGGTCCGGAAGCAACTTCTGCATTGTGCAGAGTGACCTCTATTAGCCTCTATGAAGTGAGCATTTCCGCCCCAAGCACTCTGGGATGCCAAAACCCATCAGCCACAACCCTGCACCCTCCATAGGCCCCATGACACTGCACAAACCCGTAAAGCCCCAGTCCCACAAACCCCAAAAAGCCTAAGAAACTGCGAAGTCCTCAACTCTCAGCATACCCTAAAGACCCTAGAAGACATATTACCGATGCCCTGACTCCGGGCTCCCAGGCTGTGTCATAGTGCGGCGGGCCCGCAGCGAAACATGCGAAGCGGCAGTGCTCCAACTGAGCAGAGAGTGGCTCGGTAGGGTGAAGGTGCCCCCTACTACATGAGGTCTTCCGGCATATGATCCTGTTGGACGAACATGAGACAAATTTTGAACACTCCCTCCACGAAGCACAGTGCGGGACATGCCCAGTAAACCGCTACGACAGGCACTCAGAATCTTGAACTAATCTATTAGCACAACATGACATACATCATAAACTACGAGCCAATGATAAATAAGATCACAATCATGCGATGTGCTGCAGCGAGGATGCCCTTGGGGCCTCCGGAGCAGTAAAGATATCCTCGGCCTCAGCCTGCACGTCAGAGATGCGCCTCGCGTACAGAAAAGCGCCCCAGGGCTCGACGGCTGGAAAGAAAAAGACTCAGAAGGGATCCCTACAGAGCTTCGAGTCTTAGGTTAGTTGAGTCTCATCGTTGACATGCATTCTTCGGGCATGCGAATTCAGGTCCGCGGGCCGATGCTTGCTTAGGGTGCAAGGTAGAGTAATTGGCCGACAGCACTCCTCGCCATGCAATGTCTTTCGGATTCCGGGAGGAGACGCACAGAGTGCAATTGCTGACAAGGCACTAGCCCAGGCCTGGGCCTGAATGAAAAACATTTGCCACTTCTGAAACGAATTCCTCAATGACAAGGTTTCCGAAGATCTGGTATCATTCACAGGGGGTTGAGACCATTGCGGCACTCGGGGTCTCTAAATTGGAAGACTAAAGCACCTGCAGAAGCACCCCATGAGCACCTTGAGCGCAGCTCACGGTACTGGCTAAGCTTCCTCCGTGGCAGCATACATCTGATTGGGTTACAAGGCTGGGAATGTCGCAAGGTAACTACACAATGGAGCCTGCACCCTCAACCGCTACCAGCTGAACCCCTTCACCCAGGCCGACCCACATGGTTCACGGATGTAGCACGCGAGACGTTTGAGTAGCAAGGTGCACCTTGTTACCCAAAACAAGGAAACTACTGACTAAATCAAGTACTCAAAACATCTCAAAACGACCCAGTGAAAATGTAACCCATGACGCAGAGTTCGCAAGGCCAAGCATGGAATCCGCTGTAGCCCAATGGGGCTTGAAGAACATAGGATGAGATGAAGTGGTGTCGGCTTAAACAGCTTGAAAGCTTTAGGCTTTGCAGCCTCGGGTTTGGCGTTCAAGAGAAAAACATCAATATGGCTGAAAGCGTGGGGATTGTCAGCTTCCAGCTGAGGTTTGGGGCAAGAGCGCAGTCAGGACTCAGAGTCGACACCATGTAAAATGCATAGATACACCGTCAGAGGCCCCTTGACAACACCCTGCAAAACAATCTAACACCTGCATTTTGCAGGTTAGGGCTAGAGTCCTAGGCCCTAGGCGAGCGATTCGAATCCAAGTATACGATGGGGCTTACAAGTAGGACCCACAAAAAACAGTAGGTTCTGGATCACGAGCCCAGAAAGCTCAAACAGGAACAACTAGTTTCCTTCCCCGCCTAACTACCCAAGCTCAGTTCCCTGAATCCATCGCTCCCTCAAGTTGTCTCCTCTTGGCTTCGGAGGTCAATCTCAAAAGAGGGATCACCACGAAAAAATTCTCGTTGTATTTGCGGACCTCAGGGTGCGCATGGCTCGTCGGGCACTGCTGGCTCGAAAGTCCATCAGAACTGTCGGGTTGAGGCTTTGTGGCTTCAGGCGTTAGCCTTGACGTTGGCGCCGTACAGACAAAGAAGGTGGCGTGAAGGGCGATCAAAATTTAGCACGAGCCCCATGGATCGCAGCAGCCATGTTTCAGCAAAAAGTCCTGTGCGGTCACTAGGGGAAAGCCATGTTATGTTGTGTTGGAGCCATGGAGCTGGAAAACTCAGCCCTTTTAACCGAAACCAAGACAACGCGTAGAGCGCCAACTTCAAGGGACTAAATCAGAGGTCAAGCAAAGCAGTCCATATGATAGATCCTAGACAGCATGATCCTTGCCAAGACGACCCTTGTCGCGGACCCCTTACACTGAGCATGGGTGCGCTTGGGACTTCCAGAGAAGGCTATCTATGATGATTTCTGTGATTCTGGCATTGGCGGAGTGACAGCATCTGCTGAGATTGAATCTTGCTGGCAGCACTTGCACTGGGCACCCTGGTGGTATTCTTCATGTAGTAGACTTGTAGATATGAGTGCAGTTTCAAGATGACCTTGTAAAGCAAGAAAGCTCCTGCAACTTTTGCTCCTAAAGATTATAATGTTTCTCGACACATCCATGTTCTGCTTGAGGATGTATCATCGTGTCCAATTCGCTCGTTTTTCTGGTAGGAGACTAGTGATGCCAGGAAACCTGCACATCGAAGCCAATTCGCCCCGTGTTTGCATGAAACGCAGAACCTGCAAAGCCACCACACCCACTGATGACAAAAAAAACACCTAAACTCGCGACCTTAAAATCCACACTCTAAACCAGCGACCGGAACCATGAGCCACCACGGCCCCAACAAAGCCACGACCTCAAACCCCCTGCCCAGGATCTGGAAGAGCTAAGCTGGAGGCCAAAGGAACGGATTGCTGCTCCAACTGGATTAAGTCTTCCACCTTTGCACGTCGAGCGGCTTGACGTGTGCGTTTTGCGACGTTGTCGGAGATTGTGACTTTAGAAATTCAGCAGTTAAGTGCCATAGCGCGGAACGGCTTCTGCATAAATTATGCCAAAAGAAGTTCCTGCACCGTGGCTAACCCTTGAGGCAACGCGTCAAAGTTGCAGCAGCAGCACCACGGAACACTCGGAATACGGAATGAACGCTCTGCAGGTACGGCAGGTTTTAAAACTACTGACCCCACCAGTTTCACGGTTGGCTCAGGGTGTCTTCACGACGTCTCACATTGAAAGGAGTCGGAGGCACTTCGAAGAGGCGATCAGGGTCAATCAGAAGCCACGGAGACCAATGCAAGATAATTCGGTTTAGAGCGTAATAATCGCAGTGGCATAGTTCGCTCGTGTCGTTACCGGAAGGTACCGTATGTTTCTACGACCGCATCAGTCGACACCTTCTGAATAGCTTTCAAGGCTCACGAAATCAGCACCTCTGCATCATGGAATTCGAGATGGCAAATGGAAACGAGCTCAAGTGCCTATGAATACTATAATCTAACTGACGACAACTGGAAACAGTACTTAGTGGATATCACATAATCGACACCAGAAACAGGTGATATAAGCTGTGATTTCTCGATTCTGATGGTACATGAGCCGTCTGAGCCGTCTCAGCCCCCAGCCGGCAGCGGGTGCAATTGGTATTTCACTGCGAGGCGCAAGATGGTCGGTCGTCCAACCCGCGCGCAGTGTACCTTTCGCAGAAAGGCCTTCGGGTTTGGGGTGTTTGGTTTGGGGTGCTTATGAAAGCGGGGTTTATAGTTACCTTTTCTGATCGAATCCTATATTGCTTTCAAACCTCAGAAGGGGTGTCAAGGCGTGGCTCGGGTTCTCTTTCGCTGTTGGCGTGGGATGCGACGCCCGGGAACGGTCGTCTGGGAAGATTAAGTTGGGCATTGGGGATGGGGGTTTCGGGGCTTAGGATTTCGGGCTAGCGGTTCCGCCATCACGACCCAGGCAGACCTAATTCAGGGGTCTAAATGCAAGGACTTAGCTTAGGAGGCTGCTATCAGAATGCATGTCGAATGCTTCGTGACGGATCCGAGGCCCGGCAGAGCACCCACCGCATCTTCATCTGAGCCTTCCGGTGGGTCAAGAAGAAGTCCTGAGCTTGGGCCGCGAGCTTGAGACACGGCGCGTTATAAACAAGTCTGGGAGACATTAGGGATTGGCTTACCTTTACCCAACCATGCGGCCCTGTTGTGGTACATGCTAAGACGATTCTACTAATTCTACTAGTCGCGATTCTAACTGCTACACTACCAAGCTAACATACGGAAAAGCAGAGCAACGATCCACGACGACAGGCAGTGGATGTTAACCGTAGAGAGGAGCCTTCCAAGTCCTCGCTGCAAGCGCGAGGAGAAAGAATGCAAGCTGCTGTTTCAAGCGAAGAATGGTTCAGAGTGTTTGGTACGTTGGGCGTTCGCCTTTGGGTGCAAGGCCCTTTTAGTTCTAGGCTCGGGGTTCGGAATGTAGGCGGGCCAAGGATAGAGCGTCATGGAACCCGAAGACCAACAACTCTGACAGACCCTCTGGTGAAGCCGTCTCAGACCTTGAGCAGCCCAGCATGCAAGGTCCAAAGCATCAACCCCTAAACCTCAAACTCCAAACAACCCCAAAACCTTAGACACTAAACCCTAAAGCACCCAAACCGAAAAACAAGAAACCTGGATTTCCGGTGCCATCCGAGTTTCCATCGGCCTCTCCGGCCTGCGAGGACAGGCTCGGAGTTACGGGGCGGAGTCCGCTGGAGATCGGAGCCCTACAAGTCCCATCAAGGTTTAGGGTCTAGGATTTACGGATTTAGGGTTTAGGGGGGGTTAGGATTTAGAATTTAGGGCTTAGGGGGTTTAGGATTTAGGATTTAGGGTTTAGGGTTTAAGGTTTGGGGGTTCAGGGTTATTCTTCGCTGCGTCTCCCCCGCGGCATGGCTGTCGAAGGTTGCAGAATCCTAGTAGTCTCTCTTTGATGATGGTTCGGTTACCATCCTCACGCTTACAGAAGCCCAACGCGTAGATCTAAAGTCCTATGCTTAAAAAGGCTCAAAGCGCTCGCTAGCCCTAGCCCTAAACCCTCTTCCGGAAGCCTCTTCCTGCTTCCACCAAACCTCGGAAGGAGGAAACCCCAAAGCATGAATTGGATGGCAACGGACCCAAAAGGCCTTTCTACGAAAAGACACGTCTGTAAGCCGGGAATTAGAGGCATCCCGAAGTGCCACTTCGTCAATATGAAGTAAGTAGTCGTGTGCAGCCCTGGAGGATCAGACTCACGCTTCGTTTCTGGACCGCTACTGCTACAGCGCTATGGCTAAAGCCCCCGGGAAGTGGGATGCCGTGAGCAACCCCCAGTCACCGGGGTCGGAGTATCTTTGCAGTCCGTCAGAGTCCAAGTGAGCCGTCCAGTTTAGGGAACGGGATTCACAAGGCACCAAGAAGCCCTCACAACAAGCTGGCGCCCCAAAAACAAAGTCAGAGCCCCAAAACCCTATCGATTCTACTTGTGCGTTTTTTCACCCCTGATCACCCCTGAAAAGATGTAAGTAGGGCTGGCAAGTCTTATTCACATCGTTGGTCTTCACGCCGCTTACAAGAACACTGCGTCTGGCCCCACTGAGCCCTGGGTCTGATCCACCTGGGGCTTCCCAGGCTTCACGGCGCAGGCTTTTGGCTTTAGAGCTCAGGGTTTGGGCGCTATGCTTAATCTAGGCCTTCGGTAGGTTTATAGGCAAGAGCGGCATGGGAAGCATCCTGCCTTCGAAAGTAAAACTCATCAATTCGGCGCTGGTTCCAGTCGATGAAGCCGATAAAGCCCGACTCCTGCGGACAGATGATTCCCAATGATTCTGCGCGCCTTTCTCTTCTCAGATTGATTAGAGTTTTGAGAAGAAGGACGGTTTTGATGTCAGGGCTCAGGGCGGCAAAAAACAGAAAAATCTGCGGAACTGTCATTCCTACATCGCTTGGGTCCTCTGGCAGCTGTGGAGCCACGGTTCCGGTTGCCTGAGCGCACCAATTGTCTTTTTGTCTTGAATGGGGTCCGGGGTGTCAGTCATGTGGGACCACGAAACTTGAACGACCTGTGCTGGTTGATGGGGCCTTCAGGGTTTGGAACCCTCAAACCCTCGACCTGAACCGCGGATCTTGAGTTCAGGCTCCGGGAATCCAACATTTCCCTTCTGCTGCTGAGGCGGACACTGCCGACGTCCACCGCATGCCCCCGCAAAGCCTTAGTCTGGTATATTCTGAAGCTACAGTACCACCATGGGGAAAATCATTGACAAATCCAAAATAGCACTTTTTTCCATGCTAAGTTGCACCAGGTTCCTCAAGTAGTGAAGCACAGAAATTGACGGTTTGGGGCTTCTAATCTCGGGCGGGCTTGCATGCCCATCTGCGGCCGCAATTGTTTGCATTCCTGCCCTGGCTTGGTGTTCAGGTTCCGGGTTCGGGGATTGAAAGATTACTGGTCAGGGTGCAGAGCCCACGGCTTAAGGTCTATATTTGAGCAACCGCTTCTGGATTGTGGAGCACCTCCCCAGTCCAAATAGGGGCAAAGACCTCCCCAAGATTTCAAGCCAGTAGGCCGGGTAGTGTTGCCACGGATGTTGACGGATTGTATGCACGAACATGTCAGCGTAGCTCTCAATATCTTATCTGTGGCGGCAGAAATATGCGAGGTAGCCACCGTTTCAATAACTCCAACTCTAAACACTAAGTAATTACCTGAATGAAGCATTCCGCGAAATCCGAAAACAAAAAGCAAAGCGCATCCCCAAAATCCCTCTCAGGCCCTCGGCAGGTAGAGCTTCAAATGCCGCAGCACTGCATGGAAGCTTTTCAAGTCAAGGCTGCCCTGGCACCGGAAGTCGAATGCTCGCTTGGTCTTGACTTCGGGATTAAATCCTCCAAGGCGCGGTGGTATAGTATTGGCTTCACGGACTCGGGATTAGGGGTTGAGGTCCAGGGTTTGCTCTTCTGTCGCCTTCGGGGGTGCTTTAGATGCGGCTGGGTGCTCAGGTGCCCGCGGCTCGTTGCTGATGTAAAAGCATGCTGTGGTTGCGATACCATCCTTGATGGTGCGGTTGTCGGTGACGGGATTTGCGGTTGTCGAGATGCTGTTGCTGCTGCCGCTGTTCCCGAACTTTACAGAAACGATCGCCGAAGCCGCTAAACCATCCCACAACGGAACTCTTAACTCCAAAACGTCGAAGACCGTCGAAGGGTCCCAAGTCTCAGCCAGGCTGGCATTGTTATTGATGGCGTCCCAGAGCTGGTGGAATTCAAGTGAGTTCTCGAGCTCCTGGAAGCCTTGCTGCTCCAAAGCCTCCAGACTTCGGGGCGCTAAGGGGTGTCACAGCCCCAAAAGTCAAACATGTGAGTACCCCAACAAATCTCGGCCGCCCTGGAACAGAATGCCTTCATCCTCAGCTCCCAGTCTGCCCTGACCTGTGCTGAAACCTTCGATAAGAGGTCAGAGCGATGAGCGTTGACGGCTAGTTTAATTTAGGGCTTAGGGCCCAGGGTTGAGGTTTAGCGGTTAGTGTAAGAGGTATGTACGCAGCAACCAGACATCGCCTGCTACTTGTGAGATGGAAAACTCCTGGAACACAGAGCCTTGCGCAGCTGAACCTTGTCCATGACCATAAGCAGGTGATCGGACGAGGTCCTGAAACACACGAAGAAATCCGGAACCCTAGAGCCTAAAACTCGGTCCACCTTCACGGTTGTTCTTTGAAGCCTGAAATTCCCGTACCCGAACACCCCCAAACCTTAAAACCAAGCCCTAAAGCCGAGAACCCTAAACCCCCAAACCTTATAGATCCCTTTTCCCTTATTACACTAAGACTAACAACAAATTATAATGATGGTAATAGTATATAATAATCATAACAATTACTGGTACTATAGAAATAGTTACTAATGATAGGATAATGTTAATGATGCATTTGCAGATCCCCTCTCTCCGCTTCTTCCGGGCCGGGCCCCCCGGCGTGGAGGTGCTGCGCCCTAGCGGCCGGGGCCTCGTCGGTCCGCTAAGGCTTAGTGGATTTAGGGTTTAGGGGGGTTAGGGTTTAGGCTTTGGGGTTTAGGGAGTTGTGGGGGTTTGGTGCTTTGTGCGTGAAGGACCCCGTTCTACTTCAGCATCCAGCGTCACAGCACTGGCTGAGCCAATTACAAGTGTAGTTAACAGTAACAGTACAACTCCACAAAAAAGCTTCAAAGAGCAACAAGTTCCAGCTGTCATCGAGAAGCAAGCAGTGGTTCTAGATCAAAGCTGCACCCTGAGTTCGATCCAAGCTCCACAGATTAACGAGACCCTGCTCCTGTGCTCCAGCCGTGACTGAACACAAGCATCTATCACCGGCAGGCAGACAGCAGGAACCCTGCACACAATTTTCCGTATGTCGAATTTAGAAACTGTATGCAGCTAAAAAAAAAACCGTAACCATAAACTTTCGGAGCGTTTACCTTGGTGCCAATGTTAAGAGTGGAGCCTGAGGGTCAGCATTCAAGAGAACAACAAACACTTGGCTTCAAAGGTCGGAACCTACAGCGCAGCTCGGAAGGTTCGGCCTCTGGGTTTGGGAGGCTCTCAGAATTTCAGGATCTGCCCCGAAGAACCGCCACTTCAGGCCTTGAAACCTGTCGGCCAAGGCACGAGAGCTTCCAAACCCAACTTTTGTTTCTAATCCAATGTCTTAAGCTTGGAGGCTGAGGGCACTCAGTATGCCGGGTAGGTCCATGCATGGATGACCCCAAACTCGAGGCTTGCAACCCGAAGTGTAAGTAACTTACAAAGGCCCATGATACTGCCAAAAGAGACAGGTGACTGATTGATGTCGGTGCTCTCCATAAAGTCATCGACAGTGCCAATCCGCCTCAAGAGCTAGTCTTAGCTCTGCGCCGAATCGAGCGCTGCGGTGACGCTTTTGGAGGAAATTCGCTGGATTTAGGGGGTTTAGGGCGCGAAGGTCTTGGGTTTTGGGCATGGGTTAGCAAGGTACTCGAAGTAGATGGACTGCAATTAAACAGAACAGGTGCCTGCACATGTATGCAGGCATGGAAGCGGTGATACAAAGCAAGCACGGTAAAGCACCCCACACCCAGATAAACGGACGGATACGATAGTCTGATGGATCCGTCAGACCAGCCGTGCCAAGACCGGCTGTCATGCAAGTTTGTGAATTGCTGACTAGACATTCAGAGAGCACACTCATTGTTTTCCTTCGCATCCAGGCTACTGCGCCTTCGGAAAATGACCGCAGCACAGCTTTGGTGCAGGTCGAGTCAAATCTGAAAACACAAGGGATGCCCGATGCCCTGCTCCGACAACCGCAAAAGCTTACAATGGAGAACGCAACATACGCCTCGAACCCTCAGCCCTCTACATAAACGCCATGACACCAAACCCTAAGCCTAAGAGCCCCAAACCCTACGCGCTGCAATTGCAAACCCTACAATCAACCCTTAACCCCAAACAAACGCTGCTTTTGATCTCTTGAATCCAAACCTCTCTGAGATTCACACAATGAGTGGGGCCCCTTCAAAGACTGCTTACTCGTCTTCGTATGCGTACCCCAGATTAACACAGGAGTTCCACGGCCTTACATTATGGCATGTTCTTTGATCTTGAGGATGCCGGAACCACACGGAAACTCTGAATTAGATGCCAAATAGAGCAAAATGCCGAGGAAGACTCCCAGGAAACCGCATTGCTGCATGTGGAAGTGGACTCTGGACTCCCCATCTTGACTGACAGAAGCCCTTACCTCCGAAACTCCACCCTAGGGCCCCGGACAGAACCCTAACACCTACACCATCGCTTCAGCTCCCTCTGCTACACAAATATATACGTAAATCATAACACACGGTAAATTCATTCAGTCCTTCGTTCATTCACTTACTCACGCATTCATTGTCCTTCGCTCACTCAGTCAAGCATGCATTCATTCATATGTATGTACTGTACGCATGCCAGGACTCTCCACCGAAAGTGGAACAGTTACTCCTCCCAGATTTCAGGCCACGCCCTCGTTTGTACACAGTGGAAGCAGTCCCGTCTCAGGACGGCTCTGAGCCGAGACCTAGTTCCACAAAAGTTAAACTGTTTGAAGGTACCTCACTACATCTCTGGACCTTCGTACTGTTGAGATGTACGAAAGGCAAGGATCTAATCGGTGCATACGGATGATGCTCGCAACAACTCGATGCAGGGTTTTCCGTGCTCGATATACCTCGACATCACCATCCCTCGAAGGTTGTGTTTTCCGCGCCGCCGCAGATGTTTGGCAGCCTCAGACGAACCCGATTCCAAGCGACGTGCAAGCCATCAAGCTCTGAAGCCCTGAAAAATGCAAAGCAATCAAGTCTCACCAATTCATCTGTCAATCAACAACAACAACAACAACA